AGCTATTTCAACCTAGTACGGTAGCACGGTGTACGTACAGCGACAAATTGCTATTCGTGCGCGATGCCCTAACATGCTGCTTACAGCACTCAACCGCAAGATGCCATCTTACAACATGTAAAAACGTGCGCATAGCAGCACGTGGACGCATTGAATAATACCAATAGTTTCGACACTGAACCAATTACGTAATACATCTCTCTGTAATGTCCTAATAGAATATATATAGATTTTGCCACCCGAAATCAGGTTATATGTTTCTCTGTAGAAATTATCTTTAAAAAGAACGCATTATATACATAATATTATGCATTTTGCTTTTTACAGTGATGGAGAGTGGTTGTCGAAAAATTCCAACACTGAACGTTTGTTGCCTAGCAACAAGATTTGTTCTGTGATGTACACAGTATATATTCGCTTAGCGTCCCCAAGTTGAACTTGGATTGTAATTGTTATCAATTGAGCGATTCGCCACCGCCGTTGTACGTTATCTTTAATCGCTTAATGTACTTGAGACTTGAATATCAATTTTCTGACTTCTAGCATTTCCGCTCTCATGCTTGTGTCATTTCTATAGATGAGGAACACCAAACAAATATCTACGTGCGCGTAATAGATGGGGTGCGTACATAATGTCAATATTAAGTTATTATGGATGCGTATGCCCATTACGCATTTTCAATAATAGAGTAAAGCCTGTATTTCTAGCATTGGTGTTTTCCTTGTTATTCGGCATAACAGATTTTCAAATTGCGTATTCACCTGAGAGATTTCTATTATTATATTTCTTCAGTAAAATAAGTGTACTTTTTATGTCATTCGCTTAATACGCTGCTATGGCAATGTATACATTTACTGTATGTATGTAAATACATGAGAAACAAATCGGTATATTACGTAATGTTGTTTGATCATTCCATTGGGATCTTGTAGACGTGGCTGTGACAAATGCTATTCTGAATGAATTCGAATTCGTGATTTTGCAAAGGATGTACTTTCTCATTTACAGAGTAATTGTTACGCGACAATTTCCTGGAACTAGATTGTCGACATTTGTTTGCAAAAAGAAATACATAACAAGTAAATGCGAAAATACTTAAAACATAATTGCGAGCAAACTGTGCTGTTCACCATTTTTAAAAAAAAAATCTAACATTTCTGTGCACGACTGTAACACTGAGTATACGCATCCTAAGTGCACCCATGTTTATTTATTTATTTATTTATTTATTTATTTATTTATTTATTTATTTATTTATTTATTTATTTATTTATTTAAATATTTAAACATTTAAACATTTATTTAAACATTTATTTAAACATTTATTCAAACATTTATTTAAACATTTATTTAAACATTTATGAATTTATCTCCTTTGGTGTTAGTTTATGCATTAATTTGTACATTTGTTTGTTTACTTTTGTTACGTAGATTTTATAATATTTCAATTTAAATTAATTAGCCGTCACGTTATTTAAATTTTAACACACAAAGTAAGACGAATATTTACCATATTGACATTCCATATTACACAACCAAATAATTAAAGCTGTAATAACTCACACTTATATATTAACAAAAAACGTTATAATATACTAACAATTATATAGTTTTGTAATTTACCACTCTGATTCAAGAAATTGCTCTTGAGGTTGGAAAAGCCATTGTATAAATGGTAGATATGCAGAATGTATCGGATAACGATCGGAAACTGATAGACAAGTGTATGTCCAGTTCAAATAAGTATTAATATCGCGTGCAATACAGAGGCGCTGTATCATCAAGACGATAGCATTGAGACCGAT